TGGTTGTTTGGGGGTTTTGGATATTTGTGCCCCACCGGATGGGAGACCACCAGGAGATCCAATGGGCCAACATTTATCGTTTCCCTGCTTTTGCAGGTTGGAGAGGGGGAAAATCAAGACCTCCCATTCTCCTGCTAGGCCAGTGTTTCTCAACCTTGGCCACTTGAAGATGTCTGGACTTCAACTCCCAGCATTCGCTGGCTGGGGAATTCTGGGAGTTGAAGTCCGGACATCTTCAAGTGGCCAAGGTTGAGAAACACTGTGCTAGGCTCTCCATCAGGAGATCTCCAGAAAGAGGCAATCGAGCTCAGCTTTTAGGGGTTCAGGTGTCCCCAAGAATCCATCTGGGGATATCCTGCCTGGCTGAAGGAGCTGTGAGAAACAGGACACAGATCTCCCCCCCCCCCATCCGGTGGGGCACAAATATCCAAGACCCCCCAAGGACCAAATGTGCCCATTTGCAAGGAACAAGTGCCTGAGGACACACCTGGGCAACCACACACCGACTGCAGGAAAAAAAACCACAGGACGATCAAACCTGTTTTAAAAAACATGCCTGTAATTTATTGCACTTCCTACTGGCGCTTCCCCCCCACCCTCCAAGCTCCCCCAAGACCAGGAAGGAGCCTTGAGGGGGCTGGTAAAGACAAGGCTGGTTTATGGGGGGCGGGGAGAGAGATTGGCAGGAGGACCCCTGGCTGATGGAGCTTGCCAAGTTTGGGTTTTATAGCCATTCCTCTGAAGCCATTTTTACCAAACATTACTTTAAACATCACACTTTCCTTTTCTGCGACGTAGGTGGATTCCGGTGAAAGTACTTTGGATGGGTTTCCTCACAGCACCCCACCTCACCCCTCTGCATTTGAGGGGAGGGTTTGTGTCTCTCTGACTGGCCTACATTCAATGCTGCAGTTTGGGGCTGGGGGCAGCCGGGGGGAGGAAGGGGGGGATGCTGCTACCCAGCCAAAACTCTGAAAGGGAAAGCAGGAAAGTTTTCAGATTCCAGACCAGGATCCAAGATAAACCAGGGAGGTGGAAGCATCCCCTTGAAAGGCAGTCAGGGGTCCAGAGAAGACCCTTCCGCCACCAGGCAGGTGACACGAAGCCCTCCAGGCCCCACACTGGGGCTGCCCCCCTTTTAAAGTGAGACCCTGCCTTGGATCCAGCCCCTCCCGTCCTTTGGGTACCCAAGTGAACTGTGGGAGTCCCTGCCAGGAGAGGGGTGAGGGCCAGTAGCTCGCATGGCTCTCAAAAAGATTGGGGCTAGGGACCCCAAAGAGCCTTGAAGGGGAAAGAGGATGGAAGAGGGCGGGGGCCCCCAGACCCCTGCATATGGGCCCTCAGGGGCCTCTTCCAGGCTCCTGGGAGAGCCAAGCATCCAGCAGAGGTTGGGCTGGAGACCTGTGGTCATTGTGAAGAATCCCCTCCCTCCATTGTCCCCTCCCGCCAAGGTGGCGCAGTGGTTAAATGCAGCACTGCAGGCTACTTCAGCTGACTGCAGTTCTGCAGTTCAGGGGGTTCTAATCTCACTGGCTCAGGGTTGACTCAGCCTTCCATCCTTCTGAGGTGGGTGAAATGAGGACCCGGATTGTTGTTGAGGGCGATATGCTGACTCTGTAAACCGCTTAGAGAGGGCTGAAAGCCCTGTGAAGCGGTATATAAGTCTAACTATTGCTATTGCTATTGCTATTGCTATTGTGACACCCTCTTTTAAAAGACCCCCCCCCCCCGGCCATTGGTGGCTGGGGCAATTCTTCAGGCAGCCTCTTATCTCTGAGGCTTCTGAGGTAGGGTCCCCTTTGGACTGACCTCTGACCTCGGGGAGGGTCCTCCTGGGGAAAGAACAGCAGCCCCTGACATGGTTTGACTGCTCTTTTCTGCACCTCCTCCCTCCCTCCTCCCTTCCTTCCTCCCTCCCTCCTTCCTTCCTTCCTCCCTTCCTCCCTCCCTCCCTCCTTCCTTCCTCCCTCCCTGAAGCTGAGCTGGGTGGGAGATTGGCAGGAGGCATCTGGGAGAACCCCCAAGGACCACCTACCACGTCTCCAAATTACGGTTCCCAGCCTTCCCTGGGGAAGCCCAGAAACCGGCCACAAAGGGGGTCTCGGCATTTCTTCACCACTTGCTACTTTTCAGAAAAGGGTGGACTATGGACTTGGAAAGAGCCGGAGTGGGGGCTTCTGTTTTCTAACGCAGAGAAGTATTGTCCGGGTAGAGGAGCCCCCCCCCCCCCCCCTTGGCTGTGTGTGTGTTTTGCACAATGGCACACCCCTGTCTACTTGGCATGGGGCCCTCAGGAGCGGCTGGCGTAAGGCAGACGCAGGGGAGAAACGGCCCCCGGGTGAGGAATGTGTCCGTCCACTTGGGGAGGTGTCTTTGCCTTCATCCCTTGGAGAGTCCGATGTCCTTCTGCTCTCCCGCCGCCCTCCGGCCCTAGACGCAAGTCTCTCGGAGGAGGTGGAAGCAGCCGTGGTCCAGAGCCTGGCAGGTGCAGACGGACTCTGCGGAGCCCCTGGGGAGGGCCGCCTCCCCCGCGGCCAGCAGGCTCTTCTCCTCCCCCCCGAAGCCAAGAGCCAGGGAGGCCGAGTCCAGTGCCTCCTTCTGCGGACCAGCAGTGTCCTCCTCGGGGGTCTGTGGGGGGGACAGGAGAAGAGGGGGAGTCAGCCCCGGGGCCTCCCCCACCCGAGTGAGGCCGACCGTCCTTCCGCTCGCCCGGAAGCCAAGAGCAGCTTTGGGGGGCGAAGGAAACGGCTTCCGTGTCTGGGCTAAGACCCTGGGCCGCTTCCCCAGCCCTCAGGAGACGGGTGGGAGACTCTTTCAGAACAACCAGAGTTTCAGCTGGGAAACTGGGACCATCCTAGACCAGTGTTTCTCAACCTTGGCAACTTGAAGATGTCTGGACTTCAACTCCCAGAATTCCCCAGCCAGCGAATGCTGGCTGGGGAACTCTGGGAGTTGAAGTCCGGACATCTTCAAGTTGACAAGGTTGAGAAACACTGTCCTAATCACTGCTGGGGAATTCTGGAAGTTGAAGTCCGGACATCTTCAAGTTGCCAGGGTTGAGAAACACTGTCCTAGACCATCCTAGACCAAAACGCCAGGGGGTTTCCGGACGCCTGGCGCTCTGACAAATTGGCCACCAATGGGACACCTGCATCCTGTGCCAAAGAGACACTCAACAAGCCGGAAAGGGAAGAAAGAGATCGAAACTCTTCCCCACCAGCCATCAGGACCCAGACGGGTATAGATTAGCTCCGGGATTAACATCAGGGCAGCAATCAAGAAGTAAACAATATCCCAGCCCCGGGGGCTGCCAAAACCCCCGACCGTAAGCAGCCCAAGCGAAGCACCTGCAAGACACGGAGAGGGCGAGACACAGAGGACACCAATCCTTCCTCCCTACTAGCACTGATGATGTTGCCTAGTTGGGCCGTGAAATGTCTGCAAGAAAGCTACCAGGTAGAGAGAGCACCCAGGAGCCCCTCGTCCAGCCCTGAGCTATCAATCTCCTCCTTGATTGATTTCCCAGCCTCCCCCCCCCTGCAGAAACGCAGAGAGATGGTCCCTGGAACGATGGGGGCAGCCCCGTTCTTGCCCACCTCCGAGGGAAGCAAGCTCTTCCTGGGACGTTGTCAAAGCCAGGAAGGCCAACCTCCTTTGGGGGTCCCCAGAGAGCCCGAGGAAGGCGGCTCCTGCGCTCCCAGGGCCCTTATTGGAGGAATGACGGATCCTCCGACTGCCAGGGCAGAGGTGGGCTTCGTTCCCCCCCCCCTTGCTCAGCCCCAGCCCCCTGGCCCTCCTCCCTACCGTCTCCAGCGGCCTCTTCATGACATCCCACCACAGCACCGCTGGGCGCTTGCTCCCCTCACCAGCAGAGCCTGAAAGAAACCCCCGGGGAAGTCAGGAAGCCCCACCAGGCCATGCATGGCCCCTCAGCCCAGCTGTTCCAGGGCATGGGGAGGCCCCTTCTGGCCCTCAGGCCCAGGGCCCTCCTGGCAGGCAGAGGCTGCTCCCAGGGGCTTTCCAGGGGTGTCAAAGAGGGCCTGGGTCCCCTCGTGCGGCTCAGCAGGGGAGAGTGTGCTCTGGAGACCCCTTTTCACTCAAGCGGAGGGGAACTGCGGGCTAAGGACGCCCGGCCACTGAAGCTCCCCACCTCTTCCTCATAAAACCTAAGGCTGGAAGGGGTCCGAGAGATCATCTACACCCACCCCCTGCCTGGAAACACCGCTGCAGCAGCCTCTCTCCGGCTCTTCTGCTCCCCTCGGAGGGTCCTTGAAAGGGTTCCCCGTCCCCACCAGAGGAGCCCTCGCCGGGCCGCCCTGCCCACCTGCTTACCTTTCAGGCAGCTGGTCAAGAGCCCAGCAGCCACCGTGCTGAGGGTGCCCAGGGCCCCGTAGTAGAGGTAGGAGATGGCATAGAAGTCGTCTGCAATGGCCGGCCTGCAAGGGATGCCCCTTGGTCAGCTGCCTTGGGAGTGGCTGGAGTCCCCCAGCCATGAACCTCAGCACTGCCACCCCTCCCCTCCCCTGCCCAGCCGGGCTCCCCCTGGCAAGCTTCTCCTTCCCCTGGGCCCTTGGTAGGCTCTGCCTCCCTCCCTCCCTCCCCCCTGTATCTCTCTGGATATCTATCTATCTATCTATCTATCTATCTATCTATCTATCTATCTATC